GCTGCGCGCGTCAATAAAATAAAATTCCATCCGGCGGTAGGAACGGCGGCGGTGCGCCACGTGGATCTTAAAGATTACTCCCGTTTCCGCATTCGTGCCATTTAATTTCCCTTCCCGTGTAATTTTGCTCGCGTCGAACCAAAAATATTACGGAGCTCATGCAAATCGCTCGGCCCTAAATCGATTTATACATACGCGACGTTATAAATCGCACGAGAGTACGCCTAACTTTTTTCATAAATCAAAGATACGATCACGCGAATGTCTGCCGTTACTATTCTAATGTCATCGATTAAACATTGTATCGCAATTGTTCAATATAACATTTATTATACGACTGAAAGATTTTTTTTAGTTAGAGAAGTTATTCATTTTTCCTTTCTCTTCTTTTTTTTTTTAAAGGAGAAGACGGAGTATAAAAAAACGGAGTTTTGTACGTAGAATGTGCCACGCAAAGTGGAAGGTTGATTACTATAATTCAATGTCATGTAAAAAGCAGCTGCCGAATTATTTGTTACATGATTATTTCATTCAACGAGTGCTATTCAATTTCCTTACAGCCATGTCGTTTCCGGTGACATGGTTTTGTCTTCGGGCACCGAACGACACATGTCGAAATGTAATAGCAATGTATGTGATTTTGCCTGAGATAATGTCACTGTTGCATCTATAACACGCTCTTTTATGTGTACAAGTATATCAATTCTCTATTTATTAGAGAGATTTCTTTGAAGGAGTCTCTAATTCTAATAAATAGAATACATATAATTATTGATTAATTAATTCTAATTAATTAATAATTCTACACGCTCGTATAGAACTAGCAATAAGAAATTCAATGAGACAGCAATATAATAGTATTTAAATAAAAATATCTCTGTCTACTTTAAAAAATTTAATTGGTCAATTTTTTAAATCATTTGAGCCTACATTTAAATATTTGAATTTTTGAAATTGTACTTCTACTTTAATACAATAAAAATTAAGTTTATATATAAATACGTGTATTCTTATTAATGGGAGTATTTTATTGCTACCATTGTGCGAGAAGTGTAAGTATTAACGATATGAAATTGTGTGCGACACACGATAACTCGTGGGAAAATTTATTCGTAGATTTGTTCGCGCGTAGTTTTTACGGAATTATGAAAAAAGGATCCGAACGTTTCGACATACTTTTAATGCCGGACGTAGCTGTCGGCGCGGGGCACCACGCTCGTAAAAGTCCTAGCAACGCGATTACCGTAATAAATATGAAACGAGATCTTGCAGCGTAAGCAGGAGGTAAAAAGAAGAGGAACCGCGAGCGCGAGCGTAGGCGGAGAAAAGAAACTATTTAAGTACGCGGTAAGAACGTTGCGTACAAAACGCAAGACGCTTACGCGATGTAGTATTATACGCTGCGGTACCACTTGTCTCAAGCCGATGTAAATCTTTATACTTAATGTTTATGATTTCTGCGCGTGCTTGCGACCAGCAAACATCACGGCGCGGGCGGTAAGAAAAATTGCACTAAGAAATTAAAAGTAGCGCGAGAAAAGAGCCGTCTGTGATCGAAAGCTCTTCTGTTACAGAAATTTAATATTGGTTAATTTATTACGAAAGACAGCAATTGAATTATTTATTTGAAATATGAAAGGAACAACAATGCTTTTAATGTCTAATATAAACAATTGATTACTGCCTTTCAGTTTAAATTGGCTGGTATTAGATTTCAGTACAGGTTATTTCCGATTGCTCGAAAATTTAATAAGGAAATCTTATTCTCTATTTAATTCTTAATTCGTCTATGGCGTGCGATATACTGGAGGCCATGTGCTATGAAAATCTTAATACTGTAAAGTACTTAAAGCACCCATTTATAACGTTCTCGCGAAATTAGTTCGTAGAAATTGCAGATCTTTTAATAACGTTATTACAGATGTATTGAAAGTATATTTTGTAATAAAAACACATTTTCCAATAATTTATATAATATACAAATTCGAAGTAAACGACGTTCTAATTTACTAGACTACATAAAAATTTACTTCAATACGGCTTTAACAAATTTGAAATCCAATTTCAATTTTCTCACTTAAAGATGATTTTAATGAGCCCAATGAAGATTAATAAAATCAAATTTTTAAACGAAAATTTTATTCCAACAAAAAATATGCATAGGCGAAAAATTATTCGCGATTCATGGCGTATATTCTCTCCGCAGTTCGGCGAACATTTGCGGAGGCTTTTCGTGATGGTCCATTTGTAGGCGAATGTAGCCAAAAATGACGGGGGCGCGATCAGTTATGGACGACAGCGTTCGCGGATCCCCAATAATTCCGGCTTTCGTGCCGTGACAGATCTTTGTTGGTTTGTAAAACTAACGTCCGTACATTCCATTAAAACGGCCATCGGTATGCGCGGCAACGATCCCGTCTCGCCGAGCACGTAGACGAAACATGCGGCCGGCGGGACGCTCTCATGAAATGGAATCAATCAAATATGAATCGTGTGCACGCGCGATGACGTGCATATAGGTGCCCCGATCTCTCCTTGCTCGTTTTTCCACATGTCGTCGCACCGGCGTCAACCCGAAACCTGGTTGAAAGCAGGTGGCACGTTCGCGGAAGTCGCTGATAGAAGAAGATATTAATCTTCGATTATAATATTTTGATGACGTGAAATTCTTGTAAACCTTTCTGAAAAAGAAAAAAAAAATAATAGGAAGAGAAAGTAATGAAATTATATAAATATTATAAGATTTATCTTCTGTATTCAGCACTTCTATTTTCTTCTCTTTTAAATCCTTTTTGTGTTTTTCTTTCCTTTGAATTTCAAATTTTCGAATTTCTTGGAGTGTCCCGCAATACCTACACACAATTAAGTCATTTGTGTTCTACCTATTTCTGTTCTCTGAAATATTAGAAACATTTGATTGTATAATTTCTATTCTCCTTTTTTTTATTTTTTTATTACACATAATGAGTTATTTTGTATCCTGGGTTAATTTTAATAAGGTTAAAACAAATAAGATTAAAACAAATTAGAACAATTGAAAGGCTAAGAGTCAGTTTTATAACAAAGAACGTTTAATTTAAAAACAGAATAAAAATAATTACAAACGTTTCGACGCCGATCGGGTTATTCTCAAATATATACGCGAGCGAAATGAAGCGTTATAATCATTATTTTAATTTTACCACGATAAAGCAATAGATTTCCAATAATTTTATTATTATAATGTATTTTCTCTAACATTGAGAATACATGACCTGACCGGCGTCGAAACGTTTGTAATTATTAGGTCAATCGGAAAGTTCCGTCCATATAGTGGCGAGAACTGTCGATAACTTTAATGTCTAAATCAAGCTTAATTTTTTAGTTTTACCATTCGTCAATAAAATTCAGTACATAAAAGTATACGTTTGCATCAATAACATTGTTTCTTACTGCATCGAAAATGTCGAAATTTTAGCCAAATAAATGTCATTTGCTCGAAGTGTTAATCTTTTGCTTCAAATGGAAGAAAACTGTAGCTGAAGCTCGAATGCTTGTAGAAGTTTATGATGATAATGCTCCTTTCGATAAAACATCCAGAGAATGGTTTCGACGCTTCCAAAGTAATTTTGATGTGGAGGACAAAGAGCGTTCTGGACGGCCAAGAGCATTTGAAGACAAAGAATAGCAGACATTGATGGACGAAGATCCACGTTAAACGCAAAAACAACTAGTAGAAGCATTAAATTGTGCTCAATCTATTATTTCCGATCATTTAAAAGCCTTAGGAAAAGTCTACAAGGAAGAAAAATGGGTCCCACATGAACTGAAGCCAAGAGACATTAAAAGGCAAAAAACCACCTGCGAAATTCTGTTTGCTAGACAACAAAGAAAGAGGTTTTTGCATTGATTATTTGTATTATGACTGGCGATGAAAAGTGAATCTATTTCGATAACGCCAAACGACGAAAAATTTGCGATCCCATGATATTCATGGGAAGAAGGCCATGCTCTGTATTTGATGGGACCAGAAGGGTGTAGTGTATGTTGAAATCTGGTCAAACAGTCACAGGTCATCTCTACCGAGAACAAATACGTTTGAGCAGAACATTGCGCGAAAAACGACCAGAATATGAGACAAGACACGTCACTAAGGCTGTTAAGGAAACATTGGGAGCACTTTGCTGGGAAGTGCTATCCCATGCGGCTTATTCACTAGACTGTATCCCGACTATCACTTGTTTCGGTCGATGGTACACGCACTTGCTGGGAAACGCTTCAATTCTTATGAAGACGTCGAAAAATGGGTCTCTGACTGGATAGCCTCCAAGGATGAGTTATTCTTTCGCCGCGGAATTCACTTGCTGTTCAAAAGATGGGACAAAGTCATTGCTAACGATGGATAATATTTTAATTGATGTACTTTTTCATTTTGTTTCTTAAATAAAATCATACTTTTTGCAAAAAGAAACGAATAAAACTTTCCAATTGACCTAATATTTTTATTATGTTTTTAAATTAAATGTTCTTTATTATATAACTGGCTCTTAGCCCTTCAATTGTTCTAATTTATTTTATTCTTACAGAGCCTATTACTATTTATTATTTTCATAAGGTTGTTTATTTTACGAAATTGAATATAAATGTTGTAATTAATTACTTAATACTTCTAGTTTTTCGAAGAAAAGTAATACATATGTAGAACAAGAAATAATCCAATTGTATGTACTAAGGATAAAAAAATATAGCCTTATAAATATCCTTTCCTTTAAAGATATTAAAGTATATGAAGAATCATTTAATAACTTTCATATACTCATAAATGTGCTAAAAATGAACTCGAGCATATACGACCCATCATGTGAAGAACCAGAGTATCATAGTCTGTATTAAGAGTTAATTACGTCATCACTTATTGTTAGTTATCGCTTATTTCAGTAACTGTCCCAAGGTCTAATGTGAGAGAAAAATTTGCATATAATTTATGCCACCGCCCGCAGGTGAGAAAGCGGCTCGCGAGCATGAAAGTGGAGGGCGGAGTGGCAACGACGACGGTCCTCCACAAGGTCAAGGTCAAGGAAGAGACGAAGGAATGTTGCGGCTACCAGCAGACCTCGCCGTCGTCCACGTCGACGGTCACCACCGCGACCGTCGCGACGCTTGCCGTTTCGCCCGCGACGGCGATCACCACGACCGTCACCAACAGCAACGGCGTCTCCACCGTGAACGCGAATCCTTCCACGACCACCACGGCGGTAGTCGCCGCCGTCACCGCCACCCCCGCTTTGCAGTCGTCCAGTATTATCTGTCATCCACCGACAACCGCCTCCAACACTGTGGACTCCTTCCCAGTCGACCTCGATCTCAAGGCTAAAAGTAAGGGTGAGTACACAGTAAAAAACATTTCGTATTTGTGTTGAAAATGGTTCACTCAGGTTCTTGTTAAAATACTCTGTGTTGAATTTTTTAATACGTTCAAGTGTTAATTTAACATAATCTGATTATACAAGTGATATTTGGTGAACGGACTGTAAGAGTTAATTTACTTTTAATAATTGATAGAGTAATCTTTAACTAACTTATTCATAGTAATAACTGGAAAATCATATTTTTTCAATCGTGTCACTTTTGAAATAAGAGAATGATATATGGAGTCTCTGAAAACAACTAAAATTTATAATCGTGTGTTTTGAAACTATGAAAAAAATTCTTAATTTTAATAGATTATTTGTTTGAATCGTACCAACTAAATAATTAAATATAAAAATTTATTTATTTAGTATAAGAAAATCTAATTATTTTGATTTAACAATTATTTTACTGAGTGAATAATTATTTATTGTACGTAAATGTTTGGTCGGCACTATTCAAATAAATATTTATTAAAATTATTTAGTACAATTTTTCTCAATACATATTCTTCTTGATGTATAAAGCTAAATGTATAATTATTATTTACTAACGTTACAGTAATAATAATTATAAGAATAGAGCTCCTAACTATAATTATTTTGCAATTATGTGTATAGTCATAAACGCTTTTCTCTCAGTGTGGTTGAAAAGATATCGATTGCATGACAAAGAAAACACAACGGTGACTCGATAGGTGCTTTTCACATATCCTTGAAGTAATATCGATTCTCACACATAAAAGTCGTTATATATCTTGAACAAAAATTTCATCTTACTAAAATATATTGATATTAATTTTGCTGCATATGAAATAGTTTCTACTTTCTAGAAGCTTCTAATAAAGTCTAATGCAGACGAGATTTCTTTATAAAGGAATATTTCTGCTTTCTTGGAAGACGATCGATCCGGTCAGGTCAACTTATTTGCCAATCTGTAAATATCAATTTGCATTGACCTATCGATTCCTCGCTATGGTCTAGTTTCGTATAATGTCATGCTTTGCAAAATGTAAACTGACATATTGACAGATTTTTGACGTGACATAATGGAATTAAGTAGATTGTTGTTTCGCGATATACGATTATGAGAGAAATCCTTTTATTGCATTAAAAGGCGCAAAATGGGATCGAAATTGAAATATATGAAACTTTAATCGTCGGGTTATTAACGTGCGAATGATTGCGTATCATTATTGCTTCATGTTTAATTATGACGCAGTCACCGCAATGATTCGAAGTATCTCGTTGCGTAGAATATCTGACGTCCAGAGTTGTTAATATCCTCTCCACTTCCATCACAGTCGGCAATATGTTGTAATAACGTGTCGGCGGAGTGACACGTGTCGTTTAAAAATTAACAACGTGGCCACTCTAGTCTATTTGATCTATCGCACGACCGGAAAAAACAAATCGCTCGGTACCCAGCTGAATCGAACTAGTGGGAGGTCGCTATTCTATTAATTCGGAATATCGACGTTTCTCGTTCGAGACCGTGTCGATGGTATAAGCGCACAGGTGCGGTAAGTGCAGTTTATCTAATTTCAGATTCGCATCACGGTACATTATTTTTTTCATTCATTCTTAACGCGGATTTCAGTGCTTAGCGCAGCTGTCAGCCGTCATGCTGTCGCTTACGATCTGTCATTTGCCAAGATTGCCATGCGACAGCCAATTTTAAATTGCTGACGAAATTATTAAATTTTTTAATTAAAACGGATACAGCTAATAGAAATAGTAAAAATTAATAAAATTTCAATTTAAGTGAAGAAAACTACCGTATAAATTCTACGTACTGCAAATCTATACAAAGTTTGCAATACGAAAACAATAGACTTATGCCAACTTTAAAATATAATATATAGAGTAGACCGATATCAGATCAATATAGGCTTTGAGACGTATAGAATTGTTGTCTATCGTTTTCGGTGCGGAGAAAGCGCGCAAAAGTAACTAGCTGATTTAAAACAAAAAAATTGATTACAATTGTCTCAAACTTTATTTGATTCGCCTCGGTGTCTACCCTATGTATATAATTTCTTTTTCAATATTTTATCATTTAATCATCATCAGTTTTAATAGTACGAACGCTTTTTACTCACTAAAGGAATCAAATGAATAATTTATAAAAATAAGAAAATATAATAAACTGAATATTTTATTAGTGTAAGGGACTATTGTTGAAGAATCGAAAAATTTCAGAATATTTTCACTACAGAAATATTATTATAATAATTATTAAAAATTAAAAATGATAAATAATATCATGGAAAAACCGATTTTTTCTCAAATACCTAAACATTTATAACTAGATACAGTTCTGAAAATAATTTTATTCGACCGTTAAAATAATTACGTAGAAATCTCAAGCACGACGAACAATGCTGTAAAAAGTTTTGACATTCCAGCAATCCGAGCATTCTACATAATATTACTTTGATGGTCCAACAAAATAATTTTCAGATCTGTATCTGTCTGAATTTTTAGATATTTCAGAAAACCATCCTTTTTAAGTGACCATTCGGTATTTTTTTTAATGAAAACATGAGCTTTAATTTAATTATTCCAAAAAGGTCTTCAAAGTTTCCTAGTTAGATAGATCGTGTAACGCTCTTTCCCAACGGTGTCCCCGGAAGTTGACCCCGATCCTCGAAACTGAAAATTAAAAGGAACGACCTCGTCGATGTCCGCGCGAGAGCCCACGCTGTGGGCGCGTCGTACATTAGTTCGGAATATTGCATGGCGGTACCCGTATATCCAGTCCACGCGCTCTCGCTCGAATCGTACATTCAGCCCGAGCCGGTTATCTAGACGAGCGGCGAGCCCGCAGCTAACTTGGAAACCGGGGCTCAGGAAAAAAGCCCCTTCTGGCACATCAAAGCCCGTCATCGCGTCCGAGCGCGGGTTCTCTCTCATGTTCTCTTTGCTCGTCTCAGGATCGCTTTTTGTTGACGCAACGCTACATAAAATTGTCATAGAAGTGTCGACGCGAGGTGTGCCATTCAATTAACATGATTAAAAAGTCCTTTACGAAACAAGTAGAAGATGAAGATTTTAAACAGTTATAAACGATCGAGCTGGATTTTTAGTGCTTAAATAATTCAATGTGAATTTATATTTACTGTATATATTCAATCATGCAAACTGCGCGTCGAATTTAATTTCAGTTCGAATTTAATTGAAACGCAATCCTAATAGAACTAGAGTAGTAATATCATAAATTAAATCGAGCAATTCAATTATATGGATGTTCGTAGACATTCTAGAAAAATATTACTAATCTGGTGCTGATAAGTATCTCAAAACCTAAATAATTTTTTTTGTTTCCAATCTTATTATTACTAAATAATTTTATCGCGAAAAATATTATCTCAGAGCTTGCATTCGAATTCTTTACAAAAAATGTAATAGAAACTCTCGACGTATCAAAACCACAATGGTCTCCTAATTAAAAACGGAATTGAAAGAAAGAGTCTATTTTATAGTGTAAACACTATCAGCACGTAATTTCGTCGATAACAGGCTTGGCGGTTTCGTCTATCGCGATCTTTAGTACGAATTTAGGTGCACAGAAGCATACACGTGCACGCGTGTGGATATGTATGCGAAAGCGTAATGCAAGAGATCACAGACAAAAGAGGGAAAGAGGAAGAGCAAACGAGAGGGAAAGAGAAAGAGACAGAGAGAGAGAGAGAGAGAGAGAGAGAGAGAG